CGCCGCCGTGGGAGGAGACCCCGGCAAAAGTAGCCGGCGGCTCCGCGCCGCTGCCGGCACACTCAATTTTTCCGGAGCCACAGTCGCCTGTGACGCAGGAGAAATTGGTGGGCGAGTATTCGGTGCAGAGGGTCCGGGCCCAGATCCGACCCGACCAGGCTTTGGGCACGGATAGGGTCCGGGACTTGCCGGACTTGAGCGCGAAGCCGGTTGGGGAGAGCGGAGCCGTGTTCGCGCCGGAAAGCACACCGGGCCATACTTCGTACCGACACTTGTTCACTAGCTTGAAAGAGGCAGAGTTCACTTCTGCATGGACCAAAATTTAAAAACAAAAATCAAGAATTGGGTTTTGTTTCTGATGAAAAATTAAGAATTGGGTTTTGATTTTGATGAAAAACTAAGAACTGGGTTTGAAGGAAAATTAGTTTAGAGTTACCTGAGAAGAAAGGGAGGATGAGAAGTGTGAGTACAGAGGCAGAGAGTAGCAGACGATCCATTGAAGAAGAAGAAGTATGTGCAGCTGTATAGTTGAGGTTGGAGGATGCCAAAGAACTTTACTTTTCTTGCGAAGAGAGAAGGGTGTGTTTCAATTTTTGTTTTTTCTTTTGCTTTTTGGGTTTGTAATTTTTATAAATTTTATAATCTGAATGGGATTATGATTTCAAAATTTGGTGTCTACGTTGAAGTTCTATGATTTATCTTTTTTTTTTTAATGACCTTTTTCAAGCACTAGAAGGATCTGTCTACCATCTTTTCATGGAAAAATTGAGAGGGATTGGGACTGTTCTTAAACCGGCAAAAGGCGTTTTCAAATAACTACAAACAGCTAAAAGCAATTGTAACACAGTTTGGTAGAGAAATCGTGCTTCTAGGTTATAAATCAGAAAGCACTTTTAATAGAAGTGCCTCTACAAAAGCAATCCTAATGTGACCTGAAATCTTAGTTGTATATGTTTCAACAAGGCCGTGAACATTTGGCAGCTAGGGGTGAATTTGTTTTGGGACCCAGAAAAAAGGAAAGGCAAAGTGCACATGGTATGATGGTAGGAGAAGATTCTGGACTCGTTTGAAGTACAATCTATAATAAATAATACCACAAATATCTGGAGATAAATCATTATCCACCACACTCATCACTGCCCAAGTAATAAATTAAGAGTCGCTTTCTGGAAGTGGTTTCAGGCCAATTTGATTCAATGATATTATTGAATGGTTGAGCTTTTGGGGAGCCCATGAAGATGAAGGCTGTTTGGAAACGTGTTTGACTAAACCCATCTCTTGGATTTGCATGGACTAGTTCTAAAATTTGAAAGCTTGAATGAGATTTTGTTCATGACCATTCTGAAAGTCACAACTCTGGATTTGATTATATGATTTTGTTCAAAAGGCATGATGTGGAGAAACACAAATTTTCAATAAAGATTGGAGATTTAAGATCAAACTGAAATCATTCAAAACACAAGTTCTTCAATTTGGTCCAAATTGGTAAAATACATCATTGCTAACCTTCAAAGTTGGAAACTTTGACAGTTGAAATGCTCATTTTCTTTCACTCACTTCGCCACATTTTCTCAGCAACCAAACGTAGCCCCAACAATGAATTTACAGAGAAGGGACGAACACTACGCACCTCACAAACTAAGATTTCAGCTCAAGATGATTGCTTTTAAGTCTGACGGCTGATTTGATCGGAGATCGGAGCTCCGGTGACCCGAAAATTGAGAAGCCCCATTCGCAAACGTGCGCGGGGTTGGTGTAACTGCGCAGAACAATGAGCGAAATATTTCGCGCGAGCACCGTTATAAATTAGGCTGTAATAATTTGTTGCCACGTCATACTTTGGACTATTAATAAGTAGATGATCTCAGCCGTCCATGGAATTTCATTTTTCTGGGCTGGCCCATTATAGGTGAATTTTATTGGGCTTCAAAAGAATGGCCTATGTAAACTTGGGCCTTGGGCCGACTATATTTTTTTTGATTTTGGGTTTTAAGTTATTTAATTTCATGGCAAGATATTATAGGAAATTAAGAAAAAAATTAACTTACAAAGTGCTAAAACTTGTGTAATTTCAATTATGATGCTAATTAGGCCACCTTAATCCTGTCTTTCCCTTTTAATTTTTTCTTATTGATCTCATAATTATGTTTTGGGAGAGTTAAAAATTGAAGGCTGCAAGCTAATTTTATCCAATGTTCATAATGCCCCTTTAATAAACCTTTTGTATCCATGTCAAACCACAAGCAGCATCATACCAAATGTATGATTGTGTAGAAAATTCCTTTTACTTTGGGCTTTAATATATCTTTTTGTAGTGTAAGTGCAATTTTGGGTAGTTTTATTTGAATCATTAATTTGTTCAGTCATAAAGCAAAGTAAAAACAATCTCATTCCACCAATGGGGTCTAACTTAATCGAAAAGAGTATTGACCTGTAGATCAGTAGTCACATTTTTGAATTCCCATGACACCTTGGTAGTGTGGGTAGACGTTCATTACTTGCTTATGGCCGAAATAATATAATGAGTTGATTTCATTTCAAATATTTAGATCCAACTCCGAAGATACCCCATTATACTTTTATTCCGTTTTGTGAGTTGTGCAGTGTCAAAGTGCAGCTTTAATGTGTTACCCAAAGCCCAATGGACACTAAAGTTGTACACATTTTCTTTAAAGATAGGATTCTTTTGGTCTTAAAAGATTGTTCTCAGAAAGGAGGCCATAAAGGCAATCTAGCATTATTGTGTTTGCTGGTATATTTCTTCAATTCAATTATTTTGCACCAAGAATATAAGGCAGGCAGGCAGTTTTTTGTTAATGGGGTTGACCGAAGTTGAATAAATTCTTAGCACAAAACGAAGGACCCACTTGCTGTTAGTTGAATTTCAGGTCAATGTAGGGCTTCCAAAAAGCCAAATTGGTGCTTCTCCGATCAGCAACAAAAGACACCCTTAGAAACTGTTAACAAGAATAAAAGAAGAGCAAAAGTTTGACCAATTATGGAGCTTTAATCATTGCCAAGGATAAGCCCTTATATATGAGAGTTTAGGATAAGCCCCAAATCTAGGAAGAAAAAGAACGTTTTGAAATTAGGTTAATTTTCATCGTACTTCACATTCATAGATAATATAAACACATGGTTGGTAGAATTCTGACAAGAGAGCGTTATACAGTATTTGAATACATATATTTACATCATATCTAAACTCGTCATTTGAGTTAACTAAAATTAATCTAATAAATATGATGAAAATGTTGAAAGAGGATTGATGAGCTATATGATGAGTCATTTGATACGTCAACTTCTTGCATACTTGTATGGATCAAAGAGGGTCAAGAAATTATTGTTCATCATAGGCTGACTTATATCCAATGGACCAGCTCGCGTGCTAAGAACCTTTACCACGCTGAGGATTATTGGTTGGTTGCTAATTTTGGTGTTCCTCAACATTGTGAAAGATTTTGGTTTAATCTCAATCATATGGCCGTTGTGTTTTGGTCCCCCACCTTATAGGCCTTCAAATTTGGTTCGGAAACAAAATTCATGGCAGTTAACATGCTTTGTCTAGATTTGTCACACATGTGCCATCCCTTTCCAAATTTCAGAATTTGATGAGACAAAATTTCAAGCCATCAAACATGCTTTGTGCCCTTGTCTAGGTTTTAACTTTGGCCATTGTACTAGGTTATGAATATAGAACTCCCCTGTCTTCATTTGCAATGCTGGTGTGATTAAGAGCCAATTAATTAACAACTTATGGATATAAGAAATTGGTATTACACATGGAGTGAAAATGCCTAATTAATGACATCCACGTGAGCAATTGTCAACCGTTTATGTTTGCGGGTTATACGAAGCCTCATATAGATAAACCATTGGATCTTCTAATTGTTAGCTTGAAACTGTCTAAAGCAATCGATTATATACATCTCTCTTATCACATGACTAGCTAGTAACACAATGAGAAATAGACACATAATTACATACAACTATTACACCTAAATTTTTCTAATAGTTTTTCTCCTTGTTAGAACATCATTTTGCTCTTATGTTGCTTTCAAACGTTCTATCAACTAGTACTGGTCCTCCTAGATGATCTGACAGGAAATTCAAACTCAGTCAATCTGATCTCTCTCATTCATACGATGAATATATACCATCAAAGGCTCCAAACGATAAGATTACAAGAGCAACCATATATGCAGAATGATAGGGTGGTCAGGGCTGCACCAGATTTTCAGTCAAGGAGACACAAGCCACAGGGAATGTTTCTGGTCCTAGACTAGAAAGCATAACCAAACAAGGAATTGGGTGAGGGTGGCCCAACAAAACCCATGAATATGTTACCCTGCACCCAAACAAAACTCTTTTTAGACCTGAATAACGTGGTAATATGTTAATAATATCATCACCTGAACTGCTTCCGCATAAATGGTTTGCCCTAATTATTTAAATAAAGACAAACTCATTATGGTTCATCATCATTAGGTGGAAGATAATCAATCTCTCCAGATGATCACTATGTTCGAATTCTAAAAGAGCCGGGCATAAAAATCTTCGCAGCATCGAAAGAAGAGAAAAGGAGGAGGAAATTATGTGTTCACTCAGTTAAAACGTCGGACTCAACCTTATTCTTGTTCCTTTTTGCATTGTTTTTTTCTTTTTTGGGGTTGAAGAGTTAGTCTGGTTTGGTTTAGGAAGGCTGTCTGTTTCAAATTCAATTCACATGTTTCTGTTAATGGGGAAATCAAAGGACGGTCAAAGAAGCACAGTGAGGTATCAGAATCTTATATGTTTCATGTGCTAAAATCTTTTGCTGCAACCCTATTTTGATACCTCACGGGTTGCAATGCCAAGTTTTTGTTGTTTTAAATGAATAGATTAAAGAGAATAACTAATTTAAAAAAGATTTAGCTAGCAGAGAAGACCTAGTTGGTAGTTCTTCTTGCAAGTACATCCAGAGTTCCGAACTAAGGTCACGAGGATTAGGCGACATATTATAAATCGCGGGTTGTTTTCTTTTTAGGTAAATTTAGGTTAAAAAAAAGTAAGGAAGTTTGAGTGAGTTTTATTTCAATTGAGAAATTTGGGAATTGGGGTTTGGGCCTTTGGAGCGGTGGAGAGGTTCTCGAGTCCACAAAGCATTGAGATAGCAAGCAAGCCACAGATAGAGGCCATGTGAAAAAAGCAGCTTTCTTCTTCTTGTAAAGCGACCACGCCCGTTTGGCTGCAATCATGTGGTCTACTATGTTATAGTTCTTCTACAACATTATGAAATGTCAATAACATTCCTTGGCTTTTGGGTTCTTACCATCTTACCCTTTACCAAACTCTATCCCCTAATTTTAATGTCATTAATGAATTCTAAGATATCATGCATATTAGACGCATAAGAGAATGGTATATGCATAGTTGCATGTTGATATAAGGTATCTAATTCTTGACTTGGATGCAACTATTACTTTGTAAAGGGAATAGGTTCTGTATGAGGAAAATTCTCGTATTTATTAAGAGAAACACTATTCACACTCTCGAAAGACTTGTTTGTAAGTACAAATAAAATCATCACAGAAAGTGTTATTTGCAATATTCATCTAGAGAATGGCAATAAGTTTACTTAGGATTGCAAATAACACGTCATCAATTGAAAGAGTATCCAATAAACACCTCATGTCTAATTAGGAAGTTCATTTGCAAGACAATTGCAATCAACATTTCTTTATAAAAAGGCATTTGAGACTTATCTTTCTGTCGAATTAGTGTTGTCACTTACAATCAACGAGAGACGTGTGATTCGGACTCGAGACATTTTCTTTAATAACATTAGAAAGAAAAATACAACTAAACCAATAGCCGGTTAACATACACATC